GAGAAGGTCTGCAAATCCAGGGTATTTCCTCCCGAGGGAGGAAGGACTTATTGGGACTGGGAAGCTGGGGGATACCTGTGAACTGTCTCTGGCTCTGAGGGATGAAAGGGGGTGCAGGGGATGCAGGAGCAGAGATCCAGAGAGAATGCAGTAGGACTGTTGACTTCGGTGGAGTTTGAGATGTAATGTGCAGAGGCCAGGGACGTGGCTCATGGGTAAAGTGTATGTCTTCATGCATCAGGTCTGGTTTGATGACTGGCCCAAAGGCTGGGGAGGGCAGAGGAGAACAGGGAGAAGGCAGGAGAGGAAATGGAAAGGGAGAGGTGAGGGGAAGGGAGGGGAGGGAAAGGAAGGGAGGGGCAGGGGTCAGGGGAGTGGTGCGGGTGCGGGAGAGGCTGATGATGGGAAGGGAGAGGAGGGGACAGAATGATAGGAGAGTGGAGGGGAGGGAAGAGGAGAGGGATGGGGAGGGACATTACTGATCTCATGTTGTAGAAGAGGCAGTGGAGGATGGGCGAGTCAGACACAGTTACCCCAGGACCTCCACCCTAGCCTGAAGTGTCGGTGGGGACTGGACCAGAGAAGTCTCCCTCTAGGCTTCCTCTGTTCTTGATGCCCTTGGTGAAATCTCTGAGGGAGGGAGAGGGCTTGTGACCTTTGGCCTAAGCAGGGTCAAACCCTGGGTCCAACTCTTGTCTCTGTGAGGTCTCAGCTGGCTCTGTCGGGAGCGGCCCCTCCTTTCTCTTGAGGTCACACGCTCTCGCCTGAGCAGTAAGGACACGTTCAAGGGCAGGTCCGGAGGAGCCAAGGTGGGGGTGGGTCAGACAGACGGGTGGCCCTGCGCCGCCCGGTCCAGCCACAGAAACCTATTTAACCAGCCTGGACTTCTGTCTCAAATTTGCAAAACCTGGCTCCTTAGAGCTGTTTTGTGGGCCACCGTGGGATTCAGCTGATACATGCCAAGGTGTCTGGCGCAGAGTAGGTAGGTGTTTAATAAATGGTAGCTATTATTATTACTCGAACTGTGTCACCAGACCACATTGGATGCCTGAAACCCAATTTTCTAGTTTGAAAAACATCCCTTGCGCAAAAGGGGAAGAGCCACGTAGATTCATTCAGCTCATCTTTTTTAGAGTCATCACTCATAACTTATCTATGTTTTTTAAAAGGGAACTAAAAACAATGTACCCAAACCAGCAACAACAGCACACAAGTTCAACGGAGCTACTTTTCACATTCACACTTCGGTGTGAACATAAACAAGAAACACAGGAAACATATTTGCCAGGATAAGTTTCAAGATTTTGGGGTTTATTTTTTTTGTGATGGGGGGAGGTAAGGAAGCTCCCCAGCAGTGCTCGGGACCACTAGGGCCATACCTGACAGTGGTGCTGGTGATCAAACCCAGGCCTCTCGCATGCCAGGCATGTCCGCCAGCCCTACGCACCATCTCCCTGTCACTTTGATTTGCTAAGGAAAAAGTCAAAGGCTGCTTTCCTGTGGCTGAGCATTCCAGCAGAGACAGGCATGATTGACAGTCAGGGTTTGGAAACTGGACCCTATTCCCAGGGGGACATAGGGGCGGGAGAGTAGCTAGCTGAGGGGTGGGGGAGGGTAGTGGTAACTGAGGGGCATCGGGAAGGAGAGGGCTGAGGGAGAGTTGAGATCCTGCTACAAAAATTAGGTGTTTCCTGATGGGCAGCCAGCAGGGACAAGGGAGACAAGCTGAAACCCTCTTTCCTCAGAATCGGGCAGGAGGATGGGTTTGGGGGTCCTAGCGGCTGGCTTCCGGATCCTATGCATGGGGGAAGAGATGGCTGGGACGGGAGGCAGGGTTTGAGCCCGACCAACCTGGGCTGACATGTACCAGTTTCTAGGGATGTGGCCCTGAGCGAGCTGCTTTCTCAAGTGTCTCCTCAGGCAGACAAGCTCATAAAAATCAGTGTTTACCACCGCCCGGGGACTCGGCAGCTGCCAATGCATTTTATCCCCATTAAAAATAAGAATAATGATGAACTTCACCATTGCCTACCACCTCTCTGGCTGCACCCTGGTTCCCGCCACCACACGTGACTGATGGTAATAACCTCCTTCCTTCCTGATCGCCCTGCTTCCACCCTCTCTCCCTTCCAACGATTTTTTTCACTTGGCAGCCACCGGCATGATTCCGTTGAAACAGATCAGATTGTGTCACTGCTCCGCTCAAAACTCCCGGCCCCTGAGGGTTTCCCATCCGGTCACGTGCAGGGCTGAGTCCTCCCAACAATCCTTGCTTGACACCTCCTACCCTTGACCTTGGCCTGCCCACCTCTGCCCTTGCTCATCGTCCCCAGCCTCTCTGACGCCTGGCTGGCTGCTACCCGGGCATGCTAGGCCCTTGCCTGACTCGCATCCCATGCTCTCGCTCATCGTCCACCTGCGACAGTAATTGCGCGTCTTGCTTGCTTACCTCCTCGAGGTACTGGCTGAAAAGTCATCGCCACCTGTCCTTTCGTGACCTTCCCTATTTCAGGCCGCAACTTCCACCTACCCATCTGAGCCCCTGCTCGGGCTCTGTTGTTTTCCAGCGTGCTTGCCATATGCTGACACATTAATGGAGACTCCTCTTCTCTCTATTTATTGTCTGTCTTTCCCCACTAGGATGTCAGTTCGATGAGAGCAGGGATTTTCGTCTGGTCAATTTATTCCTGTCTCTGCAGCTCCAAGGACATCAGCCAGCCCCTGGTAGGCCCCATAAAGCATGAATGGAAGGAAAGGGATGGTGGGTATGAAGCAGCCACCTGGCTGTGAACTGGAGGTGTTGACTAGGCAGGGACTCGGACACAAGAAGCAATCCAGGGAACCAGTTATCTGAACTGTAAGACGAAGCCAAAGTGGGATCTGGGGGCCAGAAGGAGGCCCTGGGCCTCAGAAGTGGGGCATGAGGTCAGTACTGGGCTTGATACTGAGTGAGGCTGGTGATCCTCGGGTTAGGACTAGCCCCAGATCCTGGGCCTTGAGAGGTAGATTCCTCGTGGCTCCAACCCATAAGTGGAAAGGGGGGCGGGGGAGAAGATCACCGGGCAGATCCTTGAGCCACTTAGTAAGTGCCAAGCCAAGTAATCCTAGCTTTCAAGAGATTCCCAGAGGTCCGTGTCCATGGACATTCCACATTGGCACAGTTTTCAGGCAAAACACAGATGACTAAGAGAGAAAAATGGGACAGAGAGAGAGAGAGAGAGAGAGAGAGAGAGAGAGAGAGAGAGAGAGATGGACATTCTCATTCAGAATCCCAGGTTATGGCTGAAGCGGGGGTGGGTCCTATTGAATGAGAAACCTGCCAGGAAGTATGTGATGGCCATCATTGGCCTCTGGATATTTCCAGTTTAATTGATGGTTTATTTTTTGATGGGCTGGAGCGATAGCACAGCGGGTAGGGTATTTGCCTTGCATGCGGCCGACCCGGCTGACCCAGGTTCGATTCCTCCGCCCCTCTCAGAGAGCCTGGCAAGCTATTGAGAGTATTTTGCCCGCACGGCAAAGCCTGGCAAGCTACCCGTGACGTATTCAATATGCCAAAACACAGTTAACAAGTGTCACAATGGAGACATTACTAGGCCCGCTCGAGCAAATCGATGAACAACGGGAGGACAGTGACAGTGATTCTTTGATGGCAATGCTCAGGTAAGCTCTGCCCATGCCACGTGAAGAGAAAGAAATGCCAAGTGGAGCCCAAGACAGTAAGTCTGGGGAAACCTAGAAAGAGGTGTCAAGTAGGGAGAATTTGGCCAGCGGTGCCTGGCGCTGTCCAAGGTACCGCCCAGCAGTCAGCTCAACGTCCTCTTGCAGTCTTCAGGCTCGGAAGAACCTGCACTGCCCTTCAGGACTGCCCCCAGTAAAGCTTGCTTGTGGACAACATCTGACCCCCCCTCCAGCACATACGGGGACAGTGGAAGGTGTACATAAGTCCAGATGGAGCAATTTCCCACCGTGACCCCGTAGCGCGCTGCTCCAGGGCTCATGTGGGCTCTGGGCTACGGTGGGACCCCTCCCAGTCTCTGTCTCTACCCCTGCGGAGAGGAGGCTAAGTAGGAAGGAGCCCACAGGGCTGTGAGAATCCGAGCTCCGGGAAGGTTAAACTCCCAGCTTCACCATGCTGCTATGGTGTCCATATCCCCGCAACGGTGCCATCAGGCTCGCTGCACGCCCTGCCCACCGTGTGTGTCCCCCCTCATGGAGTGCCCCTTTGGATTTTATCTTTCCAAGACCACAGTCTTCCAGCACGGAGAGGACCTGGGAGTCCCGAGCCTGGATCAGCTCCCAGGACCACTTTGTTGGAAAGGGGCGACCCGCGGGGAAAGGCACATCCTCCTCACTTGGGTCTGCTCCTAGGCGGGAGAGAATTTTAGGGCGGAGCCCTGGAGTGTGGAGACCCGGGGAGGTCAACTACCTGGAGGGGGCCCTAGTGCCGACTCCGTGAAACCCCAATACCACCCTCGCTATAGCTGGTGCAGGGGTGCATCTCAGCCTAGTGGGGGGGAGTGAGGATCCAGCGGCCGGGACCCCTAGCATCAGGGGTGTTCGGGCGCCCCTTCGGGCGCGGGGAGGGACTCCTGGCACCCAGCGGTGCGGGAGTGCGTGGGCTCACGTGCGCCTGGCGCGCCGGGGCTGGCCGGACCCCCGAGAATCAGTGACACGGGGCAGTGCAGGTGCTGCCCGGGGAGCGCTCGGCGCGGCGGCGTCCGGCCCACTGCCCTCGCCCCTCCGCCCCTCCCCTCCCCCACCCCGCCGCGCTCGGGTCCCGGCGGCGGAGGGCCGGGCCGGGTGTGCGGGTGCCGGGAAGGCTGCCCTCCCCGCGGCCGCCGCAGCGCGGGCGCCTCCCCCTCCCCGGCGCGCACGGCCCGTCCCCGTCCCCGGAGGCGGCCCGAGCTGCCGCGGAGCAGCGTCGCCCGCGCCTCCCGCGTTTCCTGCCTCCCGGCCGGGCTCGGGACTGCGGGCCGCGCGGCTGGCGGCGGGGAGCGGCTCGGAGCGCGCACGGGGGCGGGCGGAGGCGGCCCGCTCCGGGGCGGCCGCGCCGCCGGGGAGAGGCGCGCGCGCCCGGACGCCGGCCCCCCTCTCGGCGTTGGCCCGCGAGCTCCCCGCCTCCCGCGCTCGGCTCGCTCCCACCCCTCCCGGCGCGATTGATCCGTCACGGGCGCCGCCGCGGCCGTGCTGAGGCGAGCCGGAGCCGGAGCCCGAGCCGGAGCCGGGGCCGGGCCGGCGCCATTGCGCGCGCGCCGCGGCGGGGAGAGCTGGGCGCGGGGCGGCGGGCCGGGCCAGGCCATGCGGGCCGAGTGAGCCGGCGCCCGCAGCCCGCGGCGCGGCATGGCTTCCCCGCGGAGCCCCGGGCAGCCCGGGCCGCCGCCGCCGCCGCCGCCGCCGCCGCCCGCGCGCCTGCTGCCGCTGCTGCTGCTGCCGCTGCTGCTGCTGCCGCTGCGGGCGCCCGGGGCCTGGGGCTGGGCGCGGGGCGCCCCCCGGCCGCCGCCCAGCAGCCCGCCGCTCTCCATCATGGGCCTCATGCCGCTCACCAAGGAGGTGGCCAAGGGCAGCATCGGGCGCGGCGTGCTGCCCGCCGTGGAGCTGGCCATCGAGCAGATCCGCAACGAGTCGCTCCTGCGCCCCTACTTCCTGGACCTGCGGCTCTACGACACGGAGGCGAGTGTCCGGCCGGCCGCGCCGTCGGGGCGGCGGGGTTGCCCCCCGGGAGGGCGGGGGCAAGGAGCGTTGGACCCGGGAGGAGGGAAGGGCTTCGCTTCAGTCTCCCTGGGGAGCAGCCCTGGCTGACCCTTCTCGTGACTGCCCGGCGCACGGGTGCCGGTGCGCGAGGGTCCACCCCCGCCGGGGTCCCGCCGGGCATGGCTGGCACGAAAACGAACCGGCGAACGAAAAGCGAACTGATGCTCTCCGTCCTCCGGGACTGCCCGTGTGTTATGTCCGTGTGCGGGGCGTGAGGTGGGAGACGAGGGGTCTGCTTTGGCCAGGAGAACGAGCAGCGGCCGAGGGAGGGACCGGACTCCCCAAAGGCCTGCAGAGACTGCCCCTGCCCAGGTCCCCCCCGCAGGTGGGCTGTGGAGCGCCAGGTGGTGTGCGTGGACTGCAGACCGGGCCACCCGGGACTGGCAGGCGCCACGGGCCTCCCCGAGACCCCTAAGGAAAAGCCGGATCGCGTTTGGAGGTCCCGAGGGCTCGGGGACCCCGGGGGCCAGCGAGCGCGGCTCTGGCTGGACGCGCGTGGCGCGCGCGCCAGCAGCCGCTTGCAATCCGCGCCGGGCGGGCAGGTTCGGGGCCGCCGGCTCTGAAGCGCTGCCACCGCCCGAGCGTGGCGGGAACCGGGCTAGTTCCGAGAGGCGACCTCTCCTGCTGCCCTCCCGCCGCCTTCGTGGCCCCGAGGGCGCGCCACCGGCTGCCGGCGCAGTTTCTGCGAGCGCAGACTTCCAGCACAGACTTGGAGCGCAGCGGCGGGCTGGGGCTCCCGGCCTCCCGGGAGCGCAGCGGGAGGAGCCCAGAACCTCCCAAGTGGCCCCCTCCGGCCTCGCCTTGGTTCCGGCTGCAGCCCCAGCCGAGACTGGCGGGCGTGAGGGGAGGGGTGCGCTAAGTGGGGTTGGAGGAGCCGCCGCCGGGCGCTGGAGGTCGGGCTTGCGAGTTTTCCGGACCGAGGGAGGCCCCTCCAGCTCGGGCCGCAGCGTCTGAGACGCGGCCTGAAGGGGGCAGTGATTTCCTGTGCAGTATGCGCGGTTGGCGCCTCTTGCACCGCGCCAAACCCCGCCAACGGGTTTGACTCCGGCTGGACTGGGTTTGACTCTGGCTCCCCGCCCCCGACCCCCGGGGTTGGGGTTGGGGGGCTCCCTGCCTGGGCGCTTCTTTCTGGCCGCGTGCGGTGCAGACCCCTTGGCAGGGGAAGGTTGCGCTGCCCCCTTGATTGTGCTGTCTGGGCTCCCTGTCCATCTCTGTCCACCCTCCCCACACCCCCACCTCCGCCTATATTTTTTGGGTCCCCAGAGAAAGAGCAGAAATCTCGATTGCATCTTACTCCCCGCCTCCCCGCTCCGCTGCTGAACCAGCCAGCTCTGCGCTGTAAATAAAAGGTGAAGAAACGGTTGGCACAGGCTGCCGCAGGCAGACTTGCCTCTGCCCTGGGGGAGAGACTTGCCGGGTGGCTGTGCGGAGCTCAGCCGGGTGTGGAATTCTTTCTGAATGACATTCCCTCTCGCCCTCCTCTTCGCTGGAGCATTGCGCGAGTTCTCTGGGGTTTTGTCTGAGGCCCATGTCAGGGCACGGAGATGCTGTTGTCTCATTCGGAAGGAACCCAGGACACCCCATTCCCTGGAGACAAAAACATTTAGAGTGGCCCTGCTTGCATCATCTGCAAGTGTTGTAGGTGCAGACTGTTTTCATCATCAGTTTATTCCCAGAGAGAGAGAGAGAGAGAGAGAGAGAGAGAGAGAGAGAGAGAGAGGATAGATCCTGTTAGCTTGTTTGTGTCAGCTAAGGATGGGCGTTGGGTTCCATTGGCGGGATGGAACTGTCACGTTTGTTTTATTTATATTTCTTTATCAAGTGGGGTGTGATGACTTTCAGGAGGAGGCTCCTCCGTGCTGGGATGGAAGCAGTGGAGGGAAGGCTGGGACCTGTCCCCTAGTGCATCCAGGCAGAGCAGCATGAAGTGGATTTGAGAATGGTTGAGGTGGGGGTGAGGGATTCAGGCAGTGGTGGTGGGTGGACTTGGGTTCTAGGCAGAAATCTGTCTTCTCCCTGGGGTGACCTTGAGCTGGGTGTTTAATTGCTCTCCGCTTTGATTTCCTTCTACCTCTGAGAACATGGGGCTGTACTAGGAGCTACACAGGCGGGGGTGGGGGGTGAGAGGGTGGGGGTGGAGTGCATGGCCCAAGGGAGGGAAGAGACAGCAGTGGGAAATGCCTTGAGCTGGCACTCAATGACCAGCATTCAGGGCTGGGAACGCTGAAGAAATACGCCGACTCCTGGCTCGGACTCAGGAGCCAGGCTGTGTTTCTAGGTGCCTGGAAATGGTCCCGGGGCCAAGAGGGAGCCCGCTTGTTTTTCTTGCTTTTGAAATCTCACAAGGAGTCGGTGAGTACCAGAGGGGATAAAAAAAGTTCTGACTGACAAGCAAATAAACATCTTTGTTGCTTGCCATCTTGTGACAAGGTGTCATGTTCAGGACAGTGCCCAGGTGCGACCAGATTTGATCTTTGTCAGCAGGCCCATCCTTAGAGTTGACACGCTTTCTCACTGTGACACCAGCTAGGAAGTCTCGGTGTGGGTCATTGCAGCAAGAGGCACCCGTACCCGGGACGTCTGGGGCTGTGTGAGAGGTGGGGGCCGGTTTTCTTCCAAGGGGCCGGCTCTGTGAGCTGGAGGTCCTCCCTGATCACTCTCTGGCCCTGTCACTTTTGTTTCTTGGAATGAACACCAGACAGATGCTGTGAGGGGCGTCAGCTACTTTGGCATTTGCTTTCAGTCGTTGGCCAAAGGCTATGGGCAGCCAAGATGGATCTCGTCGCCATAGCCTTTCAAAGAGATGGAGACAGAGCAAGAAACAAGTTAACCTGATCTTGGGCTTGGCCAGGCCTAGTGAAGGAGGCTCATGCTCCGTCAATCCTGGTAGACCCTGAGCACGTTTGGAATAGCAGCAGAGCGCGCAAAGCCTCACTCAGTGCCATTTAAAAATGAAGCACTTCGAACAAAGCATCTGCTACTCGGGGCCTCTTTCAACAGTATTGATTTTGTGTGTTTTTGATCCATACCAGGTAGTGCTCAGGAATCACTTCTGCTGGTCCTCGGGGAGCCATGTGAGATGCTGGGAAATCCGACCAAACAAGTCCATTCTTTAGATACTTCATGGAGGATTTGAGGGCATGAAAACATAAGCAAGACAAATCAAGATATAAATAAAAGAAAGATTCAGAAACCAAATAGAGCCATGGAATGTACAATACTGAGCATCTGGGTTAAATTGGTTACTGCATTTTTCTTTGGAAGGGCCATAACTGTTGGTGTTCAGAGACTCCTGGCAGGCCTTGGGGGTACCCTATGTGGTGCTGGGGATTGAATCTGGTTGGCTGCATGCAAGGCAAGTGCCTTGCCCATTGTATTATCTCTCTAGTCCCAAGTTATGGCAATTTTGAGAATTAAATTTTAGCTCTGAGCTTCCTGGAAGCCAATGTAAAAATGTAAACAAGATAGGTTACATTGCTTAGTATCTGACTAAAAGACTCTGAGAGATGATCTTTTTTTTTTCTTTAAATAAAAGCTTGCATGGTGTCAGAGAGATAGTACAGGGATTAAAGCACTGGTCTTTCACAAGGCTGAAACAGGTTCAATCCCCAGTACCACATATGGTCCCTTAAGCATTGCCAGGAGTGATCTCTGAGCACAAAACCAAAAGTAAGTCCTGAGCATCACAAAGTTGTCCTTTCCCCCACCACCCCAAAAAAGAATCAGAAACCAAAAAGCACTACCAACAAGTTTTGCAGGATCAGAAAGAGCTCAGTGTGTTGAGCACAGGCTTTGCAGATGACTAGGTTTGATCCCAGGCACTGCATGGTTCCCTGAGCACCACTGAAAGTGACCACAAGCGCAGAGCCAGGAGTAGGCCTTGAGCTCTGCCCGGGCTAAGAAATAGTCGAGCACATGCCTAGCATATTTAAGGCCCTGAGTTTGATTTCATCTTCCGTATGAACACTGTTTGATTTCATCTGCATCTATGCACGCTGTTGAGTGTGGCGTTGGTGGCTCCTAGCACCAATGGGTGTGATTCTAGTGTAGTGGCCCCTGAGCAGAGGTATGCAGAGTTCTTGGTAGAATACTGGTGTTTTTTTTTTATTTGCTTTTTTGGGTCACACTCGACAATGCACAAGGGTTACTCCTGGCTCTGCACTCAGGAATTACTCTTGGTGATGCTCAGTTTGGCAGAAGATTCAGAAATATTCTTTGTGTTCTTTCTTCTTCGGGCTTTGTGCTTGGGATCGCTCCACACAGTGGCAAGGATCAAACCGAGATCTCCCGCATACAAGTATATTCTCAGTCTACTGAGCTACCTTTCCAACCCCAATGTTATTATTGCTTATTCTTTGGGAACCACATGACGACAATTAAATAATAACCAAGGTTGAGGTTAAAAAAATAATGGTAGCTTTTTTGATTAGTTAATATTCATTTTAGAGACATGGAAACTTATAGATAAACATTAAGAAAAATAATAATTGCTCATAATCCTCCTACACAACAATAATTATGCCTAATAATTAGCATTATTCCCTTGCAGTTGCCAATGTTTACTATTTTACATCCTTGAGAGCCTGCTCTAAGTTTTTGTACTCTTATTTTTCTTTCACTTAGTTAAGATAAAAAAAAAAGTTATATGGTGGGTATTTCCCCTGACCCCCACCCCCTCCCTGCCCCTTTTTTAACATTTGAATGAGTTTTTGGTGAACTTGATCTTTTCCCTGTTGTTGGACTTTTAGATGCTTCTCCACTTACTAATATTCTAGATCATTCTGTAATGAAGCCCAGGGAACTGGTGGAGCCCACTCCAAGTGCAGCTCTCTGCAAAAATCTACTCAGATGCAGACTTCCTGCCCAGAGACCCCAGGGAAGGCGGTGAAGGTGGGAGCATCCTTCCCTCAGGGTTAGGC